ATCGTGTGGTTCTAGAAGGATGTATGGAATGTATGTGGTTCTGAGATACTTACGAGCTGCTGTATGATACACCTTCAGATTGGGTCCCTTCCTAATGAACTCCATTGCAATTCTACAAAACTCCTTGACAACTAAAACAAAAAAGAATATTCACATACAGTTAACATAAAATGATGTATACTAACACCTTGTTTAATGTTTGATAAACTGTGTGTCTGTGGGTAATTACTGGAAGAGTTAGTGTTTCAAGTGTATACATCGCAGAAAGAAGAGGCCATACCAATGTTAATGTTTGTGCATGTCAAATCAGTTGTGCCTATTATTTAATTACTACCAGGAATATTATTTATCTTATCAGTCTGTGCATTAAATATAAGATTGTGCGAATGGTTTTTGACTTGCATAATTGTGTGTATTGAATATCTGATCTGTGAATATATGGTAATTATTTTGAGCTTGTTTTATTTTGTATCCTAACAACAGTTTGGTCAACCGCACATTCCTAAATCCTGGTCTCTAGGTGAGTGAGTATGGATGCTATAGTGAAGGATTCAACATCTTCTTTTTCCAAACCATATTAAGATTTCATCTTATTTTGGGGATCCAATCAGGTAACATTTATCTGATAACTACTTGCAATTAGTATAATATTTCAGACCCTAAACAATTCTCCAGGGATTTCCAGGTTTTATATTACATGTCCCTGCTTGCTCATAGGTCAAGTTTTAGTTTGAAGTGACAGGTACATAAATACTGATATTGTTCTCAAGTGGGAGTATGTCATTAATTATATGATCAAATACATTAGGTCAATGTTTTATCAAATAGTGTTATTTATGTACTTCAATTAATTATTTATAATTTCTATATGCTGTTGGTTCTGTATTCTTCCTGTTCACTCATTCCAAACTTGTCTATGACAAACAAAGGATTAACAGTCATATTCCACTTCCAATTCTATTAGAGGTTGCAGCGCTATTGACTTTGGGATAACTTCAAAACATTTTTATAACTCTGTGCAATACTTCAAAGTTCATGAGTTATCTAATATTTTGGATCACTGCCCTATCTCATTGTCCTTAGCCATAAACCAAATCATCTATAATGTCCTGAAAAAAATAATAAAATAAATAAATTGGATCTATTACCAGCAAAATATATTTAGGATATGGATACAAAAAATAAATTCTTGGCCTTTCTGCATTACAGTGAAACAAGCCATGCATGGCACAGTCCCAGCTAGTTATCAAATTTAAGATATATAGTTTTGTTTATAGTAATATAGCTGGAATATAACCATGTCAGGAATATGATTTTTTAACATTAAAATGATTGACATTTGTATCTGATCGTCAAAAAAGTACTTGTCCATATTGAGAGATATTGCTCTGGAACAGCATTCAAAATCAGCCATTTTGAATACATGTATATATATAACATGATGTATAACGAATATATAAAATTTGAATATAATCAAAGCATTTAAGAGATATGGCTCTATAAGCCCAATCATTAAAACAAAGTGGCCGCCAGACAGCCATTTTGAATCCGATCTGAAAAATAAATGATGTGCATCAGGAACCAGTAATGTCTAACATATGTACCAAGTTTCAACGAAATCCATCCATAAATGCTTGATATTTGATGATTTTTTAGCACAAAAATGGCCACCATTTGGCCATTTTGAATAGAATCGTCAAACCAATATATCTGTCTATCTATGACATGATGTATAATGAATATTTAAAATTTGAACATAATCAGTGAAAGCAAGTCAGAGATATGGCACGAGAACCACATTCATTAAAACAAAATGAATGTTATCTGAAAAACAAAATTATTTGCATCAAGGTCCCATAATGTCTAATGTATATACCAAGTTTGAACAAAATTCATCTGTAAACATCCGAGAAATGTTTGATTTTGATGATTTTTTAGCACAAAAATGGCCGCTATTCGGCCATCTTGAATCAAATCGTAAAAACAAAATGATGTGCATCAAGGTCCTATAGTGTCTAATGTATATACCAAGTTTGAACAAAATCCATCAGTTAACAGCTGAGAAATGCTTGTTTTTGATGATTTTTAGCACAAAAATGGCCGCTATTTGGCCATCTTGAATCAGATCGTGAAACAAATTGACGTGCATATGTATACTATCATGTATGATGTATGTGTGAAGTTTGATTGTGATTGGTCCAGGCATTTCTAAGATACAGGTCCAGACGCACACACAGACTCACGCACGCACGGACACACGGAGGTCAAAACATAAGTCCCCGTTTTCGGACTGCGTCCGAACAGGGACTAAAAAATGAAATTACTGAATTTCTCCTAAAACAATATAACAATGATTCAGAAACAGCTTCTTCAGATTTTGAAAGAATCATATTTTTATCTCTCACAGACCAAAATGTTAAAAAAAATCACTCCAAAGTGATATAAAAAGACAAAACAAAACTAAAAAAAACAAGCAGCCTATCGGCTGAGATAGCTCCGCTGTTAGCCATGCACATTTCAATTAAAGAACTGAAGACATCATTAGAAAATGAACAATATGAATAGTATCAAAGCAATCGGACTTGCAGTTTTTAACAAGAAGTCGAAAATATCACTTTTTACCAAAAATTACAAAAATATTCACCAAAATAAATTAATTAGAGAATTGAAGATATCATCACAAAATGAACAAATCTGAGAGAGGTCCACATGTAGTACCTATATATGTAATATCAAAGCAATCAGACTTACAGTTTTCAACAAGAAGTCGAAAATATCACTTTTTACCAAAAATGGCAAAAATATTCACCAAAATTAGAGAACTGAAGATATCATCACAAAATGAACAAATCTGAGAAAGGTCTACATGTAGTATCTATATATGTAATATCAAAGCAATTGAACTATTGATTTTTAACAAGAAGTCGAAAATATCACTTTTTACCAAAAATTACAAAAATATTCACCAAAATTAGAGAATTGAAGATATCATCACAAAATGAACAAATCTGAGAAAGGTCCACGTGTAGTACTTATATATGTAATATCAAAGCAATCGGACTTGCGTTTTTAACAAGTCGAAAATATCACAAAAATATTCACCAAAATTAGAGAATTGAAGATATCATCACGAAATGAACAAATCTGAGAGAGGTCCACATGTAGTACCTATATATGTAGTATCAAAGCAATTGGACTTGCGGTTTTTAACAAGAAGTCGAAAATATCACTTTTTACCAAAAATGACAAAAATATTCACCAAAATTAGAGAATTAAAGATATCATTACAAAATGAACAAATCTGAGAGAGGTCCACATGTAGTACCTATATATGTAATATCAAAGTAATTGCACTTGCGGTTTTTAACAAGAAGTCGAAAATATCACTTTTTACCAAAAATGATAAAAATATTCACCAAAATTAGAGAATTGAAGATATCAACATGAAATGAACAAACCTAAGAGAGGTCTACCCAAGGTACATATACACCAAGTATCAAAGCATTCAGGCTTGAGTTGTTGCCTTAGTTATTTTTTTTATTGGCGAAAAACTGCGAACTCAGCAAATTTGGTTGCACAACTTCCCTTTATCATTTACACCCAGCGACACCGATGCCAGCTGACTGTGTAGAAAACTGGTAGGAGGTAATACATTTGGGGCGAAAGTATTCAAAAATCAGTTTTGGGATGTTGCAATGCCAGTGGTGGGCCAGGATTTTTTTCCAATTAGTGACGGCACGACCTACCTGTGAAGTATGAACAAAACCAGTCCAGCCAAAAAAATCACAGAGGAGTTAAAAGCCGTTGCTGGTGAAAAGTTACCCCAACTTTGGGGTCAAATTTCTCGGTAATGAAAACAGATATCAAAAATTCAAATAGTAACTTTGTGCCCACACTCA